GAGAGGGAACACAAGCTGGGGGGAGTGGGAGAGGGAGAAGCAGGCTTCCTGCCGAGCAGGGAGCCCGATGTGGGGCCCGATCCCGGGACTCCAGGATCATGACCTGAGCCAAAGGCAGATACTTAACAACTGAGCCACCCAGGCACCCGGAGAGAGAAAATCTTAAGCACAGAGCCCAACGCAGGGCTCGATCTCAAAACCCCGAGATCATGACATGAGCTGAAATCAAGAGTCGGACGCTCACCCGACTGAGCCACCCAGGCGCCCCTTAACCATTTTTAGTTGTACAGTCCCGTGGCATTTAAGTGCATTCACACTAAGAGTGTGAATATGGTTGGCCCTTGCCCACCAGCACCCCTCTGCTGAGTGGGTGTGCCAACCTCACCTGCCCTTCCCTCCCTGCTCCCCTGCAGACTCCAGCTCAAGCCTCTCCCTTCAGGAAAGGTGGACTGTGGTCAAGGTATGGACGGTGGCTGTGGCGACACCCCCCCCCCCCCCCCGCCGTGGCCAGTGCCCACCTGCCAGCCTTCCACTTAACGTCTTCGGACTCTTCCAGGGCCTGCTGCGCTACATCGTCCCCTTGGTCCTGGTTTACTTTGCGGAGTATTTCATCAATCAGGGGCTTGTGAGTGAGAGCTGCTGGGGGGGGAGGGGGCGGGGAGGAAGTAGTGGTCGAGGCAGGGGCCCCGAAGGTCTCCGACCATCTGCCCTGTCTGCCCTTGGCTGCAGTTTGAGCTCCTGTTCTTCCGGAACACGTCCCTGAGTCACGCTCAGCAGTATCGCTGGTAAGAAGGGTGAGAGGCTGGGTAGCAGGACGGGCAGGGGGCTGGGAGGGCCCCTTGATGCTAGGGCCTGGGGGCGGCCGGGGCCACCCTGCTGAGTAGCCACCCACAGGGGCTTCCTCCACCCTTCCTGCCCCCATCGAAGGTACCAGATGCTCTACCAGGCTGGCGTCTTTGTTTCCCGCTCTTCTCTCCACTGCTGTCGCATCCGTTTCACGTGGGTCCTGGCCCTGCTGCAGGTACCGAGCCCGGCCCTCCCTCTGTTCCCACCTTGGCTCCCAGCTTCCCAGACCCCAGGCTTCCTTCCATCGGCAGGAAGTGTTTGTTGCTCGCCGTCAGGTTCTGAGCCCAGGGAACAGGAGGCCAGCAGGCCTCTGGCTCTGTGTAAAATGTGTGGCCTCGGGAGCCTGGCAAACCTGGGTGCAAATCCCAGCTTCTGTCCTCTGTAGCTGTGTGACTTAGGGCAGGTCCCTGAACCAGCCTGAGCCGAGATTGCCTCATCTATGAATCAGGCGTGGCCAATATCTACTTCTCAGGGTCGTTGTACCAAATAGAGATGAGAAGAAGTGTTTTAATCCACGAGAAGCACTTACTTAATGATTATTTCCACAAGCCTTGTGCAGAGACACAGGCTTTCAAATAATGTTTCCATGGGTTAAAAAAAAAAAAAGTACTGTTCTTTTATTCTGGATGGTTCATTACGATAAAATCAGCAATGTTGTAGCCAACAGGTTATTTACCGCAAGGCTGGTGAGCAAATGTAACTTGCCGTGGCAGAAGTATTCCAGCGTTAAGTGAACAAACACACCATTCTTGCCCACGGTCTAACCAAAGTAGCTTCACATAACCAGCCTTCATTGTTTCAAGGTCACGAGTCTATAGCCCCTGAAGGTAACTATCAAAATAAACCTTCCAGAGGTGCCTGGGTGGCTCAGTCGTTAAGCGTCTGCCTTCGGCTCAGGTCATGATCCCAGGGTCCTGGGATCGAGCCCCTCGTCAGGCTCCCTGCTTTAAAAAAAATAAATAAACCTTTCATCAGTCAAGGAAAGTCCTTTTTTTTTTTTTTTTTAATATTTTATTTATTGACAGCACAAGCAGGGGGAGTGGCAGGCAGAGGGAGAGGGAGAAGCAGGCTCCCCGCTGAGCAAGGAGCCCGATATGGGGCTCGATCCCAGGACCCTGGAATAAGGCAGACGCTTAACCGACTGAGCCACCCAGGTGCCCCAGGAAAGTCCTTTTTAATAAACTGATTGCAATTCTAGGATAAGATACAGGCCAAGTGTAGGTTGCACCTGAGTGTTATGACAGCGCCCTGTGAATGTCCTTGAGCTTTCTTCCTTCTATGTCTGAGCAGTGCTGCCAGCCCAGGGCCTTGTACCCCAAAAGCCCCAAATCGTTGTGTCAACAATTCTGAACTCGGGGTTCTTTGTTAGATGCCACTGAAATGGGGAGCTTAGGATTTTTGCTGTGATTGTAAAGATTTTTTTTTTTTTAATTTATTTATTTGAGAGAGAGAAAGAGAGAGAGAGCATGAGAGGAGGGAGGTTCAGAGAGAGAAGCAGATTCCCTGCCGAGCAGGGAGCCCAATGCGGGACTCCATCCTGGGACTCCAGGATCATGACAGCCGAAGGCAGTCGCTTAACCACCTGAGCCACCCAGGCACCCTTTGCTGTGATTTTAACCAAGGCTGCTCCATAGAATTAGCGGCTTATAATCGTTACAGAAAGAATTCCATTACAGAAAGTGTCTGGCCTCATGCTACAGACAGAAGCCTTGGCAGAGTGTCGCCAGTCACGTTAGCGTCACTGGGATGTGTTTTCTTTTTCTTTTTTTTTTTTTTAAAGATTTTATTTATTTATTTGAGAGAGAGAATGAGAGAGAGAGTGAACATGAGAGGTGAGAGGGT